TTCTCTTTGCGGTAGACCAGTTGCCATAGAACCCGGTCTGTCTTACTATTTACCCATAGCTGGGGGGAGGAGTAGAAGAGGATACATACTTCTCCCGGGGATATTAGCACTTAAGTAAATGTAATGTTTTCAATTGGAATTCAAACTTGGCTTTAATATATAAAGGCTTTCAGTCGTTCAATTTGAGACGTCACTGATTCTGTTATGTGTCATGGAAGATACACGCTTAGGCGATCATGTATCTGAGGTAGACCAGTTGCCATCCAAAGATATAGACCCCAGTCTGTCCTGCTATTTACCCATAGCTGGGGGAGAAAAAGAGGATTCATACATTTCCCCAGGTTATTAGTATGTAAGTGAATATAATGGAGTCGAATGGAATTCAAACTCGGCTCTCAGATTCCTCAGTCACCACCGCTATCCATTACTCTACCGTGCCTCCATTCAGTCAGTTATGTGTCATGTGATACACGCTTAGGCGATCATGTATCTTTCGATACATGACTGACGAGGCAGTTTTTTTTTTCATTCCAGTCGGTCGTCATTTCTTTCTGCGGTAGACCAGTTTCCATCCAAGGCTATAGAACCCGGTTTGTCCTGCTATTTTACCCATAGCTGGGGGAGAAGAAAAGGATTCATACGTTTCCCAAGGTTATTAGCGCGTAAGTGAATGTAATGGATTCGACTGAAATTCGAACTCGGCTCAACGATTCCTCAATCCGAGCCGGCATCTATTACTCCACGGTGCCACCACTGTGTATTGAATACCAATGCCTTATCTGGTCTGGTGTTCCTGCTGTACATCTTGGGGTTCTTGATAAAATCCAAAGAATGGTCTGTCATCTTATCGACCTGACCAGGACTCTCGTCTTTCTCAACGACGGCACGTAGCTTCCCTCTGCCTTTTCTACAAATATTTTCATAGCACCTGCTCTGAAGATCCGAAGAGTTTGTTTCCGTGCTTCCTCGACGTCATGAATTTAAGCGCAGTACTAGATTGGCAAGTAGGTCACACCGTTTTACTATTGAACTAGCCAGATAACATCGCTACTTTTACTCCAACAGTTCATTTTCTCGCCCCTTCCGCATGTGGAACTCCCCTCTGATTTGTTGCTTTCCTGATAACTATAATCTTCATAATTTAAATTCAACGTCAATCGCCATCTTCTGACTTCTTGACCCTGTTCCTTTTTTTGTCCTTTTCTTAGTCATCCACATTTTCAATCTTCTCGCTCTCTTTCATTTTCACTCAAAGAAGGGTCTAAAATGTAATCGATCCTGTCCTATCATCTCGACTTCAGTCACTTTCTCACCGACGTGAGGAGACTTCCCTCTGTCTTTTCTACAAATATTTTCATAGCAACTTCTCTGATGTGTTTTTTCTTGGTGTTCCGTCTACATGAATTTAAGCGTGCTTCTAGATTGGCAATTATGCCTCACCCTTTTAATGTTGAACTAGCTAGATGCAACCACCACTGCTACCCAAACAGTTTCTTTTGTCGCACTCCCCACCGGGGAACCTATTTTCCGATTTATTTGCTTCCCTGATGAATACAATCTTTAATATTTTAAATGCAACGCCAATCGACATCTTCTGAGTTCTTGAACCCTGTTTTTTTTTTGTTCTTTTTTTTTTTAGTAATCCTTGTTTTCAATCTTCTCGGTCTCTTCCACTTTCACTTTCACTTTCACTTTCATTTTCATTCTCTGTGACTCTTTAAGTACGTCGGAATACTTGCTTGGAGGTGAAAGGATAACAAAAGACGAACAGACGGTCATGCGAGACTTTTGTCTTTGCCGCCTGTTTTCGTTGTTTTAACGTCACTCTTGAGCAGCCTAAGTCGATTTACGCCAGGATAGACGATTACTTGCGAGTTCTTCCTAGGTTTATAGATCGATAGTGTCCTTTTTTCCGTAGTCTGCTTCAGTCTGTCGTTATAGTGACGCATAGGCCAGCTTTGAGTGCCTCTTACCCGGACTTTGTAACGTTTTATAGCCGCAACCACAGCAATCACATGAAAGACCCTTCCCGGGCGCCAATCATCATTGCCGGTACTAAGAGTCAATAGTTGCGCATTCTCGGTTGACAATTTTTCTCTCTGGAATCTATCTTACATAATTATAAGTCTCCCGTTCGTCCATACTTTGAATATTGCTGACAAATATGGCCCAGTGCTCCTGCTGGATATCTAAGGTCCTTGATAAAATCCAAAGAAGCAGCAGCAATATTACTGATCCTGATCTGGCCACTTGGCTTCAGTCACACTTCCACTGCTGTAAGGTTGCCTCTCTGTGTCTTTTCTATAAATACTTTCATGGTAATTGTTCGGATGAACCCTTCGCTATGGAACCTAGACTTTATAGATATAATCGCAGTACTAGATTGGCGGCCAGGTCTCATCAATTCACACTGGAATTGGCTAAATGCAACCGTAAGTTCTATGCTAACAGCTTCTTTTCTCGAATTTCGCGCGTGTGGAATTTTCTCCAATATCCATGCTTTCCAGTCAACTTTGGTCTTCAAAAATTCAAATGCAATGTTAATCCTTATCTACTGTCTTATTGATTACTTTTCTATTGTTCTTGCTACTAAACAATGATTCTCTTTTTTTCTTATCAATTCTCACCCCTTGTGTCTTAGTGGCTTTACTCGCTTGCATGGGATAAAATGATAAAAAATTGATTTAATATCACCTTCATTCTCTTTTGATTATTGACCAAATTACAAAGAATTTGCCAAGAGCATCTCCTGATATCATATCAAATATATAAAACTTATCTTTAGTTGAGAAATAGATATTTTCTTTTGTCCATTGTATAAATTGGTACTGGATTTTTCAGTTTTAGGGCGCCATTTTATAGTTATCCTGATGTTTTATAAGCTAAGAATATCTGTATATTTCTTTAGACTACGATTCTAGAATAATTTTTTATTTAAAATGCCCTTGATTGGCGAACGCGCGTTACTACAGACACAAATGAGCTCTCGAATATCGTACAGACATGTCTGTCAAAACTAATTTCATCTGGGTTTTCCCCGTTAGCAGCAGAACAACTTGATATGTCCAGATACTGGTCTCTCTGCTACTTGTCCAGATCCGTGTCTTTGTCATCTGTTTCATGTCAATAAAACCGACCAGACAATTTGGCGCGATTTGTTACCCCCCACCCCCCGCCACCACCAGCACTACCCAAAAAATTGTGTGTCGCCCGCCGTTCTACGTTTTCGGAGGTAATATTTTTATTGTTCGCATGTCTTTCCCTTCTCTGCCTGCTACCGCTTAGTTCTTGGGAAAGCAATCGATTAGATGTTTTCCCCAACCTCAACACATCCTTATGTCTTATTTTAAAACACTTTGTAGTTTGAATTCTGCAAAGTATTTGATAACTTTTAAAGTCTGTTTCGAATTTTCTTGAATTATTAGAAGCTAAGAGCATATGTTTGCGCCTTTAGATATCAATTCTAAAATATTTCTTCACCTGAGAATTATTTGTGACTTCTTTCGTCTTCTTCACTGAATAGATCTGGCTAGAATTTGTTAATTTTCGAAACTTTTTGGAATTGTCTTGAGTTTATAGAAACCAGAATACACTGTCTGCGTCTTTGACCATCAATTTTTAAGATATTTCTTTAACCCTAGAACATTAAACATGGGTATATAGTACCCAGCGCAAATTTTCCTATTTTTAATTACAATTTTCAGTACCCGATTTTCTTACCTAAATAATATGTTTTTCAGTTCTTATTAATATTAACTCAAAGTACAAAGTTTGAAGTGCCTGCATGTAAAATATTTCAAATAAAGATTTATATTTAATTGTTTTGTTTTTGTTTTGTTTTTTGATATTTTCCAAATCGGGTATGATATACCCATGTTTTGTAGTGTTGTAAATTTAATTGATAGTTAGTGTTCTAGGGTTAATTGAGAAATAAATTTGTATTTTGTTCATTGAATACATCGATACAAGGAACTTGTCAATTTTAGGATGCCTTTTTCGTGTTGTCTTGATGAACCAACATCTTTAGATTTCAATCCTAAAATACTTATCTAATTTAGATTCAGGACGACGAGAAGGTTCAGCTGTGGCGTAGATCCCATGGGGCCAAGTATCTCATTTCTCAACAAGGCACCAAGCCGGTCCCATAAAGGTGTGGGGTGGGTTAATATGCTATTGATTTACTGAAACATTGCCTTCGCCAGCATGTAAGACAAAAAACAGTTATAATCCCTAGAAAACGAAACTGGATAAACTCCTCCCCACCAGTTCTTCTTGGAGTGAGATATGTACCTAATGAAGATAAAATTTCACCTGCCATCGTTGTCACTGGAACCAATTATACGTTCCAAAACCATTATTAGAATATAACAGTTCCGCCTGTACCAAAAAAGCATTAAACAAACTTCTGAAGGATGAAAAAGCTGAACATATCTCACCTCAACTAAGCAATCCTCCTTAATCGGAACACAATACCATACATGAAAAATACCTTATAACAGAAAGTCTCTCAGGAAAACAGATTACAGTCAATATAGTGAGAGATTTAGCATATTGACATTAAAAAAAAACCCACATCAATAGACATTTTTTGATTGGTTTATTAATACCAAGAAAATATTTACGCCTACGCACAAATGTTCAAACCAGAGAACCGCCAAAATTATGAAAAAGTGTTTTCGAGCTTATCACGTGATGAACAAGTAAATATATAGGGTGCATAGCACAATTTCAACAGTTATAATCACGTTGCTAAACGAATCCACGATATTAAATTATCTGAAGTTTAAAGTTACCTTGCTAACATAAAAATAAACTTTCAGAATTCATTCATTCTGGATATCATTTACCATATAGCAAATGTTTTCAATTACAGAAATTGTTTCATCCAGAATTCGTGTAAATATTTATTGATATATATATATATATATATATATATATAAGAATATTCATAAAGTTATATATGTATGTCTCTATTTATCCATGTATCTATTTATGTATGC